CCATTTGCAAAGGTGATGAAATGAGGTTTTTCTTTAGAGGAAAGGGTTGAGAACAAGGAGGTATTACCATAGATGTGATCAAAAGCACCCGAGTCAATTATCCATGAATTTGGACCTTTAATGGATTGAGAAATGCAAGTTGTGGATGTACTTGGAGATTGAGATGTTTGTGTAAAGCTGTTGGTAGTTTCAGCCTTAGAGATATTAGCTGTTTTTGAGGGAAATCCATGCAAGGAGTAGTAGTTTTCTTGGGTGTGACCCAATCCTTTATAGTATGGGCACTGCGGACGAATCCAGCCTCCAAGTCTTCCTCTTCTTGTGTAGCAACCATGATAGATGATTCCATTGGTTCATAGTCTTCATGAGATTGAGGCATCGGGACAAGAAAGAAGGCGTGTGGTCAAGGTTTCCATGGAGGGATCTCATGATTGGTTAGAAGTTGATCTTTGATATGATCAAAGTTTGGATGTAGAACACGAAGGATCATCAACATGTAATATTTGTCAAGCTTCTTCTTGATGTCCTCTGAATATTCGACTTCTAAGAACATTCTCAGCTCTTCGACAGTTACTTGGACTTCAGTCATGAAGGAAACTATATCATGGTCTTCCATTTTGAGACATGCAAGCTTGTTTGTCGTATCATAGAGATGTTGAATATCACTAGCATAGATGTTGAGTTTTCTTCTAAAAAGAGTGACATGTTTTGAAATCTCTAAAGAGATATCAGAAGTCGAGGTTCCACAAATTGACACAACAGGGCATATAATTGGAAATTTGCTTGTTTCCATTGTTCATCTTTTTCACCAGGCATCTGACTTCCATCTTGTTTTAGGTGATCATAATGTTCTTGGCCAAGGAACCACATTTCAACAACAATAGACCACGATAAATAATTTTTTTCATTTATCTTTTGGGAAGTGATTGAGGGACTTCTGGGGAATGAAAGTGTGGAAATGATGAAATGTAATATTTGTTTATCTTAGGAGGTGCCTAACTTGTGTTAGGGTGCCTAACTTGTCTTAAGGAGGTGCCTAACTAGTGTTAGGTAGTGCCTAACTATTAGGTTCATAACTCTATAAATATGTAGTATGTTGTAATAAATTTAAAAGAAAGAAATATAGATTTCATTTTATTTCATGTTTTACACTAGAAAGAACACATCCAAACCCATTTATGAAAAAAAAGGTGGTGAGGGGAAATCACAACAACAAGCAACCAGAAAACCCTAGGGGTTTTCTTCAAGGGGAGTTTCTGGACTTCACCAAAGTATAGTTTTGAGGGGCAGAACAGAGAGAGGAAGGTCCGACGACAGCTGTGGAGGTGGTGCGGTGGCGTTTCGATGAGCAGAAGGCGGTGTGTGGAGGTGAATTGGACTTTGGCATTGGCGTGGTTTGTCGTCGCGTGGAGAGATGAACCAGATTTGATAGTTGCTGGACGAAATTGTGACGGTGGACAGCGACGAAACAGCAGAGAAGAATGGTTGATAGTGCTGGATGGCTACAAACTACAGTGGGCAGTTGTAGATAGAGGTAGATAGTAGCAAAACAACGTCGGACAATGGCGAACAACAACAAACGGTTCCATAAAGTTGTGGACAGTAATGACAAGTGTTGACAAAGGATACAAGATACAAACCAGAGCGTGATTGACCCTCTCTGATATCAACTTGAGATTGAAACAAACAAAGATATTTCTAGAGGGCTTAAGAGATCCCTCTCATTATCTTATATTTATAATGAAAATATAAGAGTACATGAAATAGTAAAAGATTGCACTAGACATCTAGGTGCAGTACTAGGTATGACTAATAAATGTGCCGATTCATTTTTTGTGGTGGTTCAACCATGGTCAAAACAATGTTGTTAGCTTTGAGCTTGGTGGCAGTGGTGGCGTACTTAGGCACGAGGTCCTAGTAGTGGCCACATCAAGGGACATAGAACTCGACGAAGACAAAGTGGTTTTTCTCAATAATTATGGTGAAGTTGTACACCTTATGTTAAGAGGTGGATTTTAAGTCTAACTAAACCCTACAAAAATAACTTGTAAGGTGAGGTTTGCACTCAGTTATATATTATATATTGATCTTATCTTTAGTCGATGTAGGACTTCCAACACTTTTCCTCACCTTGAGGTCTTATGCGTGAAAGAATGGATGGTCTAATAATGGTTTGATTGTGAGTGGAATAATAGATCGAACAAACATCAAATTTTTCTAGGATAGACTCTAAACTCATGGCTTTGATTCTATGTTAAAAAGTGAATTTTAAGTCTAATTCAACCCTACAAAACTGGTTTGTAAGGTGACGTTTGCACCCATTTATATATTATGAGTTGGTCTTAGCTCTAGTTGATGTAAGACTTTCAATACCTTCAAAGAGGCCCATTGAATGCCTTCTCTGGTGAGGAGTTCAGAGAAGTTGTTGTAGTTGATTTTGTCTTAGTTATTGTTGTAGTTTTTTGGGATTAAGGAAGTGGACGTTATACGAATAGGTAGCAATGTCATCGGGTTGCTTAAGGAAGATACATTTGGAGAGGGTTTGTTGGAGATAGAGAGGGAGTGGTAGGAGACAAGAAGAAGAGTGGTAAGGGAGAGCGAAACGAGGATTCGTTTGAGTTAACATTGTGGATGAGTTGAAGATATATGGAATATGGGAGAAATTAGAGTTAGTGAAGTGAATGAAATCACTGAGTTGTTAGCCTTTGACTAACATCTCTATCTCCATCTTTCTTTTCACTGCCTTTCATTTAAGGACATGATGCCATATGATAGAATGCAATATATATTTTATTTCAATAGATTACTTTATTATAAAAATTCAAATTAGAAAACAGTTCCATTACCACTTGTTAATGCTTTTGGCATTGAGCTCATTTAGCTTTTGCTAGAACATTGGCAAACATGCTCTGTTTTTATTGTTAGATTAATTTTATTAGAACAAACAAATTTTGGTAAGTCCTTGCACCTCTTGTTTAACATGTCTTTGTGGTGATTGATTTTTAGCTTTTAATAAAGTTTTGAGGTTTTCAATAATTTTTAATCAATAATGTAGTATACGCTGGAGTGTTATGCCAAAACCATTTTCTTGATATTGTCTGAAAATGTGGACAAATGTCGGTCATAGTTGCAATCTTGAAGACCTAATAAAATGAAACGCCAAACTTTGACATTTAAACCTTGCTATATTCATGGTGTAAACATTGCTTATTGGAATTAGCTAGGTTTTAGAAGAGGTTTGTGACCATGAGTTATGTGGCAACGTCATTGTTTTGGATTCTCTCATTGGTTTGCGATGGTATTCTTTTGTTTGCGATGTATGGCCATGTGTTTAGAATTTTGGAATATAGTTGATGTTATTATTGTGATGTTATGGATTGATGTGATATCTTGGTGATCTAGTTGGATAAACTGATGGCAAGTGCATCTTGATTAGGGTTGTAATAGGCTATCAGGTTGTGTTTTTGGTTGGGCCACTTGGGATTGGAGGGGATATTGTGAGTTCTATCATCTTGTTGTAATGCAAAGAAATGGGTTGGATTTTGGTTGATGGAGTTTTAGACTACGAAGCTCCCACATGCCAAAAAAGTGGCGTTTTTGTGTCGAAAGAATGTCAGGATACAGACACGCAACAAAGAGTGCACGACAATGTATTGGATAAATTTTTTGGGCTAGACACGGCCATGCTCTTGGACCCGCCGAAGATGATGCAGTCCTGTTCTTTGACACGACGAGACATGCCGGAGAAGATACATTAGGACACAAGAATAAAATTTAATTGAAAAAAGAAAAGGAAATCAGAAACGTGAATAGTGCTGGGCATGTGAAAAACGCAATGAAATAAAGAAGAAAAAGCAAGCACAAAGAACTGTGAAAGGAACAAGAACGAAGGAAGAAGAAGAGGCATGTGCAAACGTTTCTACAATGGGGCAGAGGCTTCTCGAAATGATAAAGCCTTTCTAAAATGCTTGGTAGTACACTTTTTAAAATGCCCCTTTTCACTGAAATTATTATTTTAATTTAAAATTAAAATATATTTTATTATTTTACTTATTCTTTCTTTTTAATTTAAATTTAAATATAATTTGTTGTATAATTATTGTTATATTATCTGTTTTTTATTTGAATTATATGTTTTTATTTTATTTTTAAATCATAAATGTAAAATATAATTTTTATAATCTATTTTTTAAATGATAAATTAAAGTCTTGGTAATAATAAATATTATAAAAAGATAAATTAATTTTTATTTAAAAAATAAATCTTAAAAATAACATTTTTTATACTAATCATATACTTAAAGTATAATAACTAGTACATAATTAGTATATAATTAGTATATTTTAATTTATATTGTCGTGTCTTTGTTTTACAGTTTTTCCATTTAGTCGTATTCTGTATTCTGTGGCTACGCACGTACGTGCTTCATAGGTTTTAGATGATAACTTAGGGATTGAGGGGGTTTCTCTTTTGAATCATTGAGCGGATTGTTTTAGTCCTTGTTAGAAGTTAGGAGTGAGTTGCTTCCTTGCCATGGTTCCAGCATCAGTGTGGATAGTGTTTCAAGATGTGAGTCTGATTGTTGATAAACTATTCTAATGGTGTGGATGTGTTTATGATAGGCACAAAGACACTGATAGGAAGTGAAATGTATGCTATAGAAGAAAATTATTAATAAAAAGTAGTTAGGGGGACTTTTATGTAAAGGATGAAAACTGGGTAGTTTCTATTAATATGAATATTTAATGTATCTCTGGGGTTGAATGTTGATTCAGTTGATTTATTTCTATCAAAAATTCATTGTAAATATGCTTTGGTTTTTTTGAGTTCTTCTAATAGATCATCATGATTTGTATGTTCCACTTATTTAAAATAGTCACATCTGCACTTGATTTCACTATGTTTGATTGTCGATATTTGGTTTTCTTCATTGACTTGCAATTGATTTATGCTGTTTGTGAAATTGAAAATTAACTTCATATTTGTTTGTTGCTTTGGGCAGAGGATTAGTCGGAGACAACTCATCACTTCATCCGTGTCTCTGAAGGTATGCGCTTGGCTTCTTTTTGTCCGTACTTTGTGCATTTTGATGCAAAAGAATTTTGTTTTAAAATTGTCATGCGATGGGGTCAAGCCCATTATTCTTTCGTTTGTTCATTTTGTTTAGGCTCGAAGTGCTTGTTGTTAACAATTTCTGATACTGTTTTTTGTTTAACTTTCATATGGACTATCTCCATAAATATCATGGATCTTAATTCCGCCCTTGTGATATTGTTTTTCACTGGATTACAGAATGGTTCTGATCCGAAGGGATATAGGTGGAAATGGTTGTAGAGTGCTCTCTTTCTCTTCCTGTCAGGTTGTACTTTGAGCATTTCCTGTGGAAAGATTATGGGTGATTTTGTATGGCTTGATCTGGGATCCTTTAGGCTTTGGAATAATGTTTTTTGTTCCGAAGTGGTATATACTTTCACGTAGATGTACAAGTTTGCCTGTGACTGCTTTTGGAGTTATTTTCCCATTCTGTATGCTGTGGGAAATCGGATTATCGTTATGTGACCACTTGTTTAGATAATTTTATAGAGCTATGTTGATGGAACCATGACTCTTTTATTTTGGGCATGTCAACATGTTAGACATATGAATTGAGGTAAAATAATGTTGATAACGAATTGAATTTTATTATTCTGAATGTATAACATTAAAGAAATAAATTAGAATTGGTGAATTAGAGTTTAGACGTGGTTGATCAATCAACCATTAACTTTTGCTAGTATAAAATACACCTTATTTTCAAAATTGAAAATCAGTCATTTTGTGCGTTGACATTTAATTGGAATTATTTTTTAGTTAGAGAAATGATAAATTTTAGAAATCTTAGTATTAATAATTTGCTGAAATTGTAACTAAGGTCATTATTTTTTCATTTTCAAAGGAGGTTCTTCAGAAAAAATAGAGAGATATTTATAGTAGCTTGAGATATATTAGATACAATTAACGAGAGGGAGAAAAGGAGAAATTTTGAAGATACTTCTAAACACTATGTCCAACGCGAAGCATACAAGACCTTATTATAAATTTAATTAATAGATTTTTTTAGGTTTAATACTTATTTTAGTTTTTATTTTCATCAATTAATTTTGTTTAAAGTGTTTTCAATTTTTTTTAACGTTTAAAGTTGTTTCAATTTTTGTGATTTTTGTTTAATTTAGTTTTTTTTCTCCTGACGGTGTCTAAATTATTAATGACACAATGTTTGTGAGTTATTAGGGTTTTTTGGTTTGCGATTTAGGGCTTGTGACAGGTGGTTGATGTGAGAGTTTCGTAGTTCTTAATGCTCCAATCATTGATTGTGATGATGATTCATGAGTTGGGTTTTATGGTTGTGTGAATCTATGGTAGTTAAATAGACATGTCTCATTGAGGTTGATTTGATTTGAGGTGCTAAAGATGTTAGGTTTCATTTGCAGTTTATGATCTTTGGCTTTTTGACTTACAAGTTCATACTCATAATGGAGCTTCGTGTGGAGAAGACACGAAATGGGTTGTTAAGGTTTTGTTGTAGCTTCTATTGGTGGTGCGAGGAAGTGATTGAAATTGCGGAAAAACACTAGAAGAGGTTTGAATAATGTTTTGAAAACCTTTTCACAAATAACGCCTAATAATTTTGGTAGTGCCCAGAAGATTTATACAAGTTGTTAAACATTTGATTTATAAAACGTTGTTTAAATCAAAATGTTTAGAGCTCAAGGTTTCTCAAGTGCTTAACAAATTTACTGTAGTGTTCAAGATGAATAGCTCTTAAAGAAAATGTGTTGGGCAACATGAGCATTTAAAAATGATTAGCTTTTGTGAGCGACTACAACGTTTTTAAATAAGGCATTTGTAAAGCTAAGGCAATATATATATATATATATATATATATATATATATATATATATATATATATATATATATATATATATATATATAATTGTTTTATTCTGGTTCATTTAACTAAGTTAATCTAATTTTCCTTTAAAAATTTTTAGAGGGTTTTACTAGATTTTCAATAAGGTTACACTTGAGTGTTGCAAGTACTCTTGGTTTTCACTAGATAATCTTGGTATTAACTTGATACATTATTTAAAACTAAGTTTTTCACTCTTGATTGTGCAATATTCTTCACCACTTGTGGTATCTTTAGTCAATCTTAGTAACACTTGTTATGTTGGTTTTCCTAGTCAATCCTGGTAACCCCATTATATTAACTAAAACCGAGCATCACTCACTCCTACGGTATTCTTCACCACTTTTGGTATTCCTAGACAATCCTGATATCTTCTTAATACGCTGCTGATGAGTCAATATTTTCTTCATTTCACTTAGTTTATTGTACCAGATTTAATTAGGGAATTGTGCTTAAATGTCCAGTATTTCCCTATTTTTGCTAATTATGCATAATTTGACCAGAAATTCTTATTTTAATTAATTTGAATTATCTGAGGCTAATTATTTACATTATTAATTGTAGGGAAATTGTTGAATAATATTTTGAGACTTAAAGAGAAATGTTACATCAATTATATTTTAAGCTAAAATGAAAGGGGAGGTGTGAATTTCAATTATGGGAGTGCACACGGAGGTGGGCTTGGAGAGGTTTCTTTTCTTTTCTTTTAAAATGAAGAAGTGGTGTTGGATGGGAATGAAAAGGAAGCTACACACGCTGCAGTAGCTGATTTCGTTTTGGACTTGGAGAAGTGGATTTCAAGTGGTGTGTTTAGAGAAAGAAGTGCACGCCGCTGGCTGGAAGAAAAAGCACACGGTCCACACATGGAGCGTCCAGTAGAAGCAGCAACAGGGGTTGTGTCCAGCAAGAAGCGGAGCAGCACACAGCAACACTCATTCATTCATTGGGCTGAAAAGAAGAGAAAACAGCAACTGGTCCAACAAGGCAGTAGCAGGCACACGGGAGCGTCGAGTTGGATAGCAATGAATTCGGAGGATCCAGCAAGGAGGAGACGCATAAAACGGGAGAGCATCCGCCACTTAGAGAGCAGCTCGGTCACCGCCTTGAAGAGGCTCTCGTTTCTTTCTCTTCCAGCAGCTCTCGTTTTTTTTTTAATTGGAAAGAAAGAGATGGATTACGGCTGAATGTAGAGCACATCCAGCGTTGAAGCAGCACACGGTGCCTTGGGAGAGCTCTCGGTTCTCCATTCCAGCAGCACCAGGGATTTGGTTTTTTTTCTTTCTTTAGGGAAAATCGGTAATTCATTCATTTGGAAGAGGAAATATGTCACGTAACTAGGGAATAGCCAAAAGGTTTTCTTTTGATATATTGTATTCATTTGTTGAAATACAAAAAGTGAAAGAGCTGCTGGTTGGGAAGTTAATTTCATTGAATCATCATTCACGTTTTTCAATGTTCATGATTACTTTTCTTAGTACCTTGTTGCCGTGGTGAATGTGTGGTGATTTTAATTTTCTTTAGCTAAACATTGCATTTTCCATTTGCTATTGAGCTTTGTCCTTACTTCACGGTGCATTTAAATTGATTCCTGCTGGGACATAAAAACGGGAGGAGATTTGACGCTGATTTTATTTTAGAAGAGGATGTTCATTTTGATTTCAAGAAAGAATGAAGCACTCTTACATTTGTTTATTTGGAGTAAAAAATTTATCTTTCCTTAAGAAGGGGTGCTACAAGAGGTGTTTGCTTTTTACTTCTTTACGCATGAACCAAGTGTTGTCTTTATATTCTATATATTAGAATGAATTCAGGTAGAAGCAGCTCACTCATCTTATTTTATTTTACTATTACGAGTTATTACATTTCATTTATTAGCTAAAGATACATCTTTTTCCAAGCTCCAATGTGATTCCGATATTAGCCAAGCGTTCTTTTTATTATTATTGTTGCATTGTGTGCATTAAATGTTTTAGCTTAAGTGTTACATTTGAATAATACCAAATGTGTCTTTGTTATTTGTTGCATTTGAATAACACCAAATGTCGTCTATTTTGTTCGGCTTTTTTTTTCCTGTATTTCCAATTTCCAATTTCCTCACTTGCTTTAAAGACTGTTCGGTCTCAATGTAAAACCGTTCGGCCATCTGTAAGACCGTTCGGTCTTCGTGCTTTGTTCCTTTATTTCGATGTTTTCAATTATGTCTGGTTGTATCTAATTTCCAGTTTTAATTTAGTTCATTTCTAATCACAAAAACTCTTCAACCCCCCCCCCAAAGTGTTCGACCTATTACCTGAACCACATTTGGCCCTTGAGAGACGACCTAGGAGTCACTTCCTACCACTATATTGCATTTATTTGCACATCAAATTTGATGGGCCGCGACAGCCCCATCAAATTTTGCGTTTAACTCAACTGAGTTAATCAACAACTGTTTGAATTATCTTTAGAATGACAATAATCAGATTGCTTACAGAAACCACTCAACGATGTGCCTGAAGGAAGAAGAGAATCTAATAGTCTACATCGTCTGATGATTAAAGATTATCCCCACGAGAAAATTATAGGGACATCAATGAACAAGTTTGAACAAGATCTTACCATTAACAAATAGATGCTGCTCTTATCTCCCAAATTAAGCCTTCCAATGTTAACAAAGCTTTAGAACATAAATCATGGGTAGATGCAATGAAGGAAAAGCTTGGACAATTCCAAAAGAATCATGTGTGGAAAGTTGTCTCTGATATTGCTGAACTGTTAGAGGCACATACGATCTACTCGGGCCCACATCATTATAAAATGGTTGCGATTTTTGATGCTGCTATGGAGTATTAGACCATCTCAGATTTGGGTGAATCCTCCACCCTGGATTGTTCCTTGTTTCATTTTGAAATCCGGACGAAATTAGTATTTCTATCTTTACTTATTTTTTACTCTAATAATATAAAAACTTTGTTTGTCATATTATCTAGTAAAATCTAAGTAAAGAGAGGCAGCTATTAATACCCAATTTCGTCCCGATAGTTAAAAAAATACCTAGAGTTAAGAAGAGGTAATAAAATAAAATAAACGGGCAAAGATAAATTTGATACGAAGTCTCAAAAAAAATGATGGTTTTGTTTCATTTTCCTTTTTCTATTATTTTTATCATTTGTTTTTACTTTGTTTCGTTTTTATTTATTTCCTCTCCTGTTTATATTTTATTTTATTTTATTTTTATTTTTACTTCATTTGGTTTTATTTTTATTTTGTTTATTTTATCTTATTTCTTTGATTTATCTTTATTTTATTTTATGTTATTCCATTTTGTTTTATGTTATTTCATTTTATTTTTCTTTAAGTTTACTTTTATTTTTCTTTAAGTTTACTTTTATGTATCTTACTTTTACTTTTTATTTTATTTTGTCGTTTTCCTTTTTATTTGTTTTATTTTTTTAAACTTAAGATTACCTTTTTATATAAAAAGAAAAAAGAAAAAGAAGTTAAAGAAAAGGAAAAGTAAAATCTCAAGGTCAACTTTGTTCCCTCCTCCTGAAGCCATCAGTTGCCGTGAATGCTTAGAATGTGTTTACACGGTGGCAGCGTGAAAAAATTACTTGTTTTTTCTTGCTGAAAATTCTTAAGCGGCAGCAGTAGACATACATGGAAGAGGA